TCATTTACCATTTGCTTAATCACTCCAGTGGCTGGTGACTATTGCACATGGCTGGTATCTTGTGACACTGTGCCCTTACCCAGATTTCTTGGGGGTATTGCTTGGCATGGCTCTGCATCACCGATGGATGAGGTGTTAACATGTTTTATGGCCCATCAAGGCCCCGTTTGTGTGATCTCTTCAATGCTCTCTGCCCCAAGAGAACCACACTGAAGCCCAATTTTCTTTCAGAGTAGCCTTGGAGAGGTTAATGACAAACATGCTCAGAGCAAGCTGCAGAGATTCTGGAGATGCACTGTTGATGAGAGCCACCTGGTTATCCATCTAGCAGGGCTTTTACCAGCAAAACCCCTAACTGAATGAGGGACAGGGGACTTATGTCAAAAAGACACAAAATCAATGCACCAGAACTTCTCCTTTCCATGAGAACTGACTATTCCTGCAAGACTTCAACAAAACTGATGTAATCTCTGTGGTGCTGGCACCAAATACCATACTTTGTAGTGGGACTTTAAATCTCTCTTCTGTGTAAGATAGGCATGAGAAAGGAAGCACTGGGTTAGTTTTACAGGTGGAAAACTTTGGGAATTGCAGCCTACCTCACACCAAAGTTTTGAGGTTAGGATCTGAACCAAGATCTGTGAATTACTAAGTTGGCTCGGTAAGCGCAAGCCTATCTTTTCTTCACAGTGAGTACATGACAGGACAGAGTCATCCCTTCCTCATTAATTCCTCTATTTCTATGGGAATAAATTGCATTAAATGAAATGCATTTGCAAAACAAGAATTCCTTCTCAACCCCACATTTTTTCATTTGCTGGAGCGTGACCATTGCTGTCGGTTGAGTAAATAAAATTAATTTTGATTCTTTCTAAATGAGAAAACAAATCAGTCATTAGGCTAATGGAAGCTTTCTTCAGTCTCATGGGAACATGCTGCACACATCTCTAACATGTTTCTTATGGCAAATTAATAGAAGCCACGTCTTGCTCCCCTGCTGTAAGTCAAGAGAGTAACCAAAGAAATTCAGGCAATTCTGAGGTTTTCCACATTCCGGTGCCATTCTTTCTTGCAAGGAGTTAATCTTCAGGGCTTTATTGTGATGAGTGTCTTTCAAAATTAAAGGAAAGAGGAATCCTGGCTTGGTCAGCAGATAAGAGTGTGCTTTTCAGCATCCTTTGTGTCTTTCTGATTGTCACTTGTGGTCAGAGCATCAAACTTGTGGCCATTGAAAGAAGCAGGTGATTAGCAAGGTATAACCCTTCCTCATGGGCTGCAGATTTGATTTCACACTGGAATCAGCACTGATTTGCTCCATTTCAGTTCACTCTTGATGGGAGAGTACGCTCCAGGGCTTGGATATGGTGGGGACTGGGGAAACAGCTTGCTAAAATGAGCTTGGCCAGGCTTTCCAAAGCAGATTAAGTTGCCATCATGGGCAACAGTCAGATTACTTGAAAGAAAAAGACTTTATAGGACCCAGAAAATATGCCAATGACTTTGGGGTTTGGTTCATTCAATGCAAAATATTGTACACTTTGTCCAGAAGAGGGAAGTGAAGATAATCTCTGTAGCATAAGCCTAAAGACAACGGTAGATGAGCACATGGTAACTCCATGTGATACATGATGCTGACCTGGCTTTGACCCAGAGAAGAGAACAGAGAAATTCTGCTGAGTATACACTTAGTTTGCACTGAAACTCTTCCTCTGTGGTAGAAGATGATGCTTTTGTTAGCACAATGTGTTTATAAAGCATCTTGGCACTAAACGCAGTTGGCTTTTCTTTCCAGCATGTTATAAAATCATAATGGAAAGGAAAACAGAGTATCCCTAATGCACCAGATTATTGTTACACTGCTGTCTCCTGATACTGCACTAGATTAACATGACAGAGCAATAAAACTCTGGATCTTCATTTATCACACCTCTTTAGCTCTCTCCCATGGCCAGAGAGATTTGAAATGAATTAGCTTTTTCCCAGAAGAGGTTACCCAGAAATCATCAATAGGTCAAGTCTGCCAATTTTTACTCAAGTGTTGCTTTTCCGAGTATTCGTCAGTGTTCTTACCTAATCCACAGAGGAGGATTTCTATTTCATTTGGGTTTGGAGTTTATTCTTCCATCTGCTTCTTGCTATATTGCTAAATCTCTAGGTGTGCGACATTCTATCAGCATGAGTTTTGTGTTAAAGTGGCACTCATGCAGTCCATGTGGGTTTGATACACCTCAATCTAGAAGACACCTAAAAGGGGTGTCTGATCCTGGGATTAAATGTCTGGAGGGACATTTTGGGTTTGCTGCCAGTCCTCAAACCAGGACTGTCAGTCTGCTGGGGGAGGTCGCTGACTCCAAATTCCCCCATCTCTATTCCAAGCAGCCTTCTTGTAAACCAGTACCCAACTCAAAACTTCCCTAAGGCATTCCCTGGTCTCTGACCAATCTATGATCTTATTCTAAAATAGAAGAGGCTTAGTATGAGACTGCTGCTCCTTGTACGTTGTAAATCTGTTGGTGCTGCTGCCAGTCCCAAGCCTATCAAAGAAGGTTTCTGCTGGACTCCTGGTTTGGAGGCTGTTGGGTGCGCTTGGCTCGAGTTACCAGTAATATTTCATAATCCTCAAGCAAAATGGTTCCTCTTAAAAATGAGGACTGAGGTACCAAGCAGCCCTTCTCTCAAGCAGCCCTAAGAAAACACTAGTGAGGACTGGCTGCGATGACACCCTTCCCCTCCGGTCCCCAACGCATTGCCTCTCTGCAGGATTTCCAACTCTGATTTTTATAGAGCTCCAAGTACACTGGAGCAATCTGTAAGTTTGGAGACAGCAAATTATAAGGGGTTTTTGTGTTTTGGTGCTGACATTCAGCCCTGAACGCTATATGAATGTCAGTACACTTCTTCCCAGTTTTACAGATACAGAAACTAGTTCATAAGGAGTGAAGTGACTCAGGCAGAGTCTCACAGCATCAGGGCCAAATTCCTAAACCTTGCCCTAGCAATTCAGCTATTCTCTGCTCATATGTACCTTGCTACTTCCATAGCAAATACTAACGTAGCAACAAGCATTGCTCAGCTTAGCTGTTGGTGTGAACAACCCCCTGGTTTCTTCATTCTAATTCTCCCTGTGCAGTGATGGATGATGGCATAGATGGACTCAGCAGCACACTTTGCCTTGAATTACGTGTCCTTGTGCTTCTGCAGAGCGAGCTACCAACGCTGCATGCGTGGGGCACCCTCCCTCTGTGTGAGCATTAATTATTACTGCTGCTTGCAGAATGATCTGTGAACTAAAATGGGGTTTTTCTAATTCTGTCAGTGGAGAAGAACTTCTGGCTAATCAACTGGGCGCAGATGGAGTTGGCAGAGATGACATAAAGGCCTGCGCTAATTACTCCACATGTCTCAAGAACTGATAAGGGAGTTGATTTATGCCTGGAACAGCCTGATAATTCCGGAAATAATAGATATTGCATGACTTAATTAATCAATGTAGACCTGGCAGTGCTGTGATTTTGAATTAACAGCCGTGGTATAGTGCAGGTGTATGGAAGGTGGGCTGCAGCCTCCTTCTGTGAGAAGCCTAAATGTACCTACTAACGGCCCAAGCCAAGGATCAGGTTCTGGATACATCCTACATTTGTCTCTTTTTATATCTGATGAGTTCTTGCACTCTTACTCTAGCATAACATGAGTGTTGCCACCTATGATGGCATAAAGAGGAAAATGGTGCGTATATACACAGCAACAGCAGGCAGGAGCAAGAACTTCTGTAGGAATTGGTCCATCCTATGAGTTCATGCTAAATAGTTGCATTAAGAGTAAGCAGTTTCAAGGCCTGAGTGTTTTTAGCTTAGGCTATTGCCCTGCCTGGTGTGCTTGGTCCTCAGGGCAGGATTTAGCTGCTTCTGCAGAGCATTTTAAGGAGAACCATAGTGCCATATGTTTTAACAAATTAGCCCTGTTCTCAGCACCTTATGGCACACATGACTCCACATGTGGATAGATTTTGTCCTGCATGGCAGCATGGAGTCTGAAATGAGAGCTACAAGCTCCTGAGGACAGTTAAGAGAAGAAGAGAAGGTCTCCACTTCCAGGCAGTCCTGAAGTCCTCAGTCCTAAAGGACTCATGGAAACAAGCCACTGTGGTCTAGCTGTTAATGGTAACTTGGCTTTGAAACAGCATCTTCAGGCTTCTCTGCTGAACTTGAGGAGCCTTTGCAATGCAATAGGGGAGGAGAGGACTGCAGCCTGGATCTTGTTTTTGAAGGCTGCTGACCCCCAAATCTTCAGTAATTTCAGCACAGGGCCTGTCACTTTAGTCACCCCAAGGCTGCACTCTGGGTGAGGGGGGGAGCCATGTCAGTATCCTACTCTATTCAGTGTTATTTAAACAAGCTGCCTTGCTTGTACAAATACCAGGCTGATATTTACTGCTGGTGCTGGGGGCTCAGCCACATCCCTTAGAGATGCTATAGAAGGTCACCAAAGGTTGGAAAGACAGCTGAGATGCCCTCTCCTTTTGTACCCCCTGCCCTGCCAGCTGTTAAATACACATCCATTTCCTCACAGAAGCCCTGTTTGACCAGTGTGGGTGACAGTGGATGGAGAAAGTGATTTCTAAAGAGAATAAATAGTTTCTGCCTGGATTAAAACAAATATCTAATTTGCTTTCTTCTTTTTTGTCTATTGAAGAGCCCTCCCTTTACAGTGCAAGTTGCTTGGTTGAGATCAGATGCAGGAATTGGTTCTGGATGCTGCTCCTTGCTCCCCTCATCCAGGTATAGGGTCTCACATTAGTCATTAGATCTCTGTGTATCTACTCAGCTCCTAAGCACCCCTTTAGGTGTCTGAACAGGACAGAGCCCCACAGTCTCTGTACTTGGCCCTACCATACTAAACTGTATTGTCTTTACTGCGATTTGAGCATCAAAGACTGCACTGCACCTCTTTTGCTCAGTGCCTGACAGGGCTCAGCAAAGCCATGAAGAGGATAGTCAGAAGGGGATTGAACTTGTTTAATTTCTGAAAATACAGTTTATATTCATGTCCATACTTACATTCAGAACCAATAAATATACACAACAGCTTTCCAGGACTTCACAATCATCGTCACTTACATAATAATGAAGTGGTCACATTACATTTTATATGCAGGTTGGTCGTGACAGTATTATGAATACATGGAATCCTTTCAACAATATTTTCCTAGTCTTGCTTTTATGTTCTTTTTTATTGTGTTTGAAAGATTCCTGAATGCTATGAGTCTCTTATATGGGTTAGAGACAGTAAAACAATGTAAGTGTCTGACACAGCACTTTATAACCATGGCTTATACACAACTTCAAGATCAGTGCTGTGGCCTTTTTTGTACTAAACTTCCTCTTAAGAAATAGTGGTCTTCTTCTAAGACATCCCCTTGAAGACTTCCAAAGATACTATCTGAGCTGTTTTCTGCTTTGGGCTGATCAGTGCAAATGATCAGCTCAAATGATCAGCAGTGCAAACCAGCCATAAACTCACCTTAACAAGGGAGTTAAAACAGGTTTAGTGTTCTTTTGCGTCACTAAAGCAGTAGGGAGCTGAAAGTGTGTACCAGTAAATCAGTTCTCTAGAGTACAGAAAGTGGTAACACACGTCTGCCTTAGATGGAACACCATAGGAGTTTCACACAGCCCAGGATAGCCCATAACACTCTCAGCTGGCAAAGGGGGAGAAGTCTATGTACATTCATTTGAGCCTGTGGGTCTCCAGATTTTAGCTTTGCTATGAATTCATTTTTTTCCTCTAAGTCCACAAGTTCTCTAGGTTTAGAAGTGCTTTGCAGTACCCAACCATGCCCTTAGACCTTGCTAGTCTGCATATGTCCATTGAATTCAATATTTCTCTGGGTTAACATTGATTCCTGCAAGCGGCTGCTGTTCTCTTGCCTGTGTTCAATGGGGTCACCATCCTCTACACCATTGCCCTTTTGGAGGCAAAGGACTTTCTGAAAACTCTGCTTGAAGTTGTCAGAAAGGAATCCATAAAGAATGGGGTTGGCACAGCTGTTTGCATAGGACAGGACCACCACAAAGAAGTACACCCCAACCAACACGGGGTCTTCCGGCAGTATAAATATCAAATTTACAATGTTCATCATGTAAAACGGGAGCCAGCAAAACACAAAGACCACCACAATGATCACCACCATCCTGGTCACCTTCCTCTCTGATCTCCTGCGCCTCGTAGAACCAACTCGGATCCCTGACGACTTGACTTTTATCACAATCAGCAAGTAGCACAGACAGATCACCAGCAAAGGACCAAAGAAACCAAGGACTGATGTATAAATGATGAATGCTGCTGACCAGATGTTGACAGGCTCTGGCCAGTTCATATTGCAGGTGTGAAAGTCTTCCTGCACATCCGAAAAGATGATGACTGGAAGCACCACCAAGAATGAGAAGGTCCAGACAGTCACACTGATGAGCTTGGCTACCCTGGGCCGTCTCCACTTGGTTGATTTGATGGGATGAACTACTGCCAGGTACCGGTCCATGCTCATCACAGTCAAACAAAATATACTAGTGAATTGGTTAATACCGTCTACAGTCATCACCAGCCGGCACAAAAAGGAGCCAAAGGGCCAATAGGAGATGGCATTCTGAGTAGCCAGGAAGGGCAGACCCAGCATGAAGAGTACATCAGCAACAGCTAAATTCAAGATGTATATGTTGGTGACTGTTTTCATCTTGGCATAGCGCAAGACCACGTAGATGACCAACGTGTTGCCGCTGAGTCCAACTGCACATACAAGGAGGTAACAGATGGGAATCAGGACTTTGTGGATGTATTTGAATGAGGGCTGCTCTGAGAGCGTCACATTCTCTGTCACGTTGGTCAGCAGGGAGGAATTCACATCGCTGGAACTAGCTTCTGTGCTAACTGTGTTGGAAAAGTATAAAGGATCCATAATTTTTACTCCCGTTTTCTCTTTTAAGGCTAAGAGAGATTAAACTTCATGGGCATCTTGTTCCTAGAAAGAAAAATAAAAAAGAAAAAGGAAGAAAAAGAGAGAAAGAGTGAATTCAAAGTAGGCTAAGTTCTTAAATGAAGATATAATTTAACTGTCTATCTCTAGTCTGCATTTGTGTCTGAATTATGCAGTTAGCACATGTGATGAGATCAATGTCTGAAAAAGGAATTGCACAAGACAGCCCAAGTGCTCATCCCAGTAGATGGTGGTGTCTGTTTAATTTTCACAAGCTGCATGCACTGGGGTCAGGGCTGGGTGTAACTGTGAAGATGGGAGGCTGTAACACAGCATGCGTCCTCCCAGAAAACCCAGAACCCAAACCCAAAGATAGTTCCCAGTTCTTCGTATCCGAAGCTCCACTGAGATGTTTCACAGGTCTCCCTGTTTACATAGAAACAAGTCTCAGTCTGATATCTTCAAATGCCACTTAACTGCCTGGCAGAACTGATTGAGAACCCCCAGGGGACATTGGCAGCTGTGTAGGTGAAGAAACAAACCCCTCCATAACCCTAATGAAAAGCACCAATGAACTCCAAAACTGAAAGGACCATGTCTGGGAACACTTCGCCATCAGGTCAGGCCACATGCACACAGCTGTGGAGACTGCAGTGGAAAGGATCAAGCTGTTTCTTTTCCATGTCTCCAGACTGTTCCTCTGTTAGTGTTTCTGAATCGCTCTCCTCTTATCCTGAAGTGTGCTTTTTGTCTAAGAAACACCTTTCTTCTTCAAGAAACCCAAACTGCAGTGGGCAGCTTCAGGACACAGCTGAACAGATTTTGTGATAGAAGACGTTTCATTAGACAATCTGAAAAGAGTTTGAATTTTTCCAGCTCTCTCTTTCTGTGGCATGCTTGAATCACAGGAATAATTTTACACTCTTTGTCTCAACACAGTCTAAGTAGGTGTTTACGAAGCTTTCTGCTATAAAAAGTTGAAAGCATCTGCTATGAAAGAGTGGAGATTCAAGGCACCAATCTGGCCTGAGATCTTTCTCAAGTCTGGCCAGAAGACCATGGTGAAGGTGCTCAAGCAGGATCATAGAATCATATGTGCCCATCAACTTTTATTCCCATCACTTGGTAGTTATATTTCCATAATAATATAGGTTCATATATCTGGATTCAAGCCCACCCAGCCCACACTGCACCCATGCCTTTGAAGCACAAGCAAGGTTCTGCATCATATAAGCATGCAAAAGACTTCTTATTTCCAAGAGGAACACAAACACCTCCACGGGCTGGTTACTGTGCTTTCTGCACTGCAGTGGGTGAGAGCAGAAGTTCCTCCAGCTACCAGTAGTAATCATAAATATGCTGTTCTGATTTGGAACTGGGCAGATGGGAAGTAGGTGTCTCACATGTAGCTCCGTGGCTGGGAGGAGATGTACCAGAGAAATCAGAAACCCAGGGTGGCTGGGATGGAAAAGCTGAGGGAGCTGCCAAAGCTCAAACAAATGCTGGCTTGAAGGTGGAGATGAGAAAGGGGCAGGAAAGTGAGGAAGAGGAGTTCTTTCATTTGGATACGGTCTTCTCACCCTAAAGATAACCTACAGCACAGAATGCCTGCTTGCAAAGAGCCTCAGTCTCTTCAAGCCACTCATTGCTGGAATTCCTGATGCACTCACAGTGTGTCTTCCATGGAGGAGACAGCAATTCCAGATTCCTTTGACAGCAGCTGCCATGGTCTGTTCCTGATGCTGTGCTGTCCCCAGAAGTCAATGACACTTCAGCAGTTTGTCTGTCAGCTTCCTTAGTGTTTGGGGTTCTTCTCTTGGTTTTGTGCAGACATTAACCTTTACTGTCAGATTTTTTGCTCCATTTAATGAATTTTGCAACCTTCCATAGTAGGTGGATTCAGAAGGAAATGCGTTTTCTAAGGCTCTCATGGAAAGCCTCATGAGAGACTCATCTTTCTTCAGGGACAGCCTGCAAGTTGGCAACACCAGCAAAGAGCTTCCATCATCTGAATGTTTCCCATACATTAGCTGGGGACGCGATGTGCTCAAAGTCATCCAGATCTGAAGCTGAGTCCCCTATTCAGTGCTTTATCCACTCAGCCGCTGAAACCTCATTGCCTTTGCCTTGTAGCCACTGGTATTTCAGGGTACATTCTGGCAACAACAAAACCCAAACAGCTCTGAAAGCAGGCTTTGCTGGCTCTTTGATGAGCAGAGAGGGTTTTTCCCTCTGTCTAGCTGATAGCTTGCTGCTCACCAGCACAATTTTACCTGCACTTACATTACCACTACAGCAGTTAATCACCATAAACCTCAACAAAGGATGACTAAATACAATTAAGGCTGGTATCTTAGATACTTGTTTGGGTATTCATAATTGATGGATTAACTAGAAGAAACACCTCTAGGGGACTTTCATCTGGCTTTTTTTCCCTTTGCTGTTTCATCTCCAAGACGTCACACTGGTGTACTCCATAAACGATGCGCTTTCTGCTTCAAACACACAAAGGAAAAAGAACAAGCTAAGGAGCTAAGAACAGAGATCCAGAGTAATCACTAGTATGATTCCAAGTTCTCTTTTTACAGAGCTATAAAATAGAGGCATCCACTGCAGTGAACATATCTGACTGCCTGCGTCCCTGCCCAAGAACTGAGAGAAGAAGCAGCAGAGATGTTATGGCACAGAGCATTCTCTTCTGAAGAAGGTATTTAGCTTTTGTGAGACCTTCTCTATAGCAGGTATCCAGCACAAACATCCTTTTGCTGGGCACAAGAGCAGGTATCCAGCTGACAGCACAAAGGAGCACATCAGTGACTGAAGCATCATCACAACATAAAGGACAAACCTTAAAACTGCCCAGACAGATCAAGGCTGAAATTCTTCCTGCTTGTGGTGACAATAGCAAAGCAAAAATAACCCTGTGAAGTGCATTGCATCAGAGTATAGCTGGGATCAAGAGGGAATTACGTAAGGAAACCTAGTTTTATGAGCCAAGATTTGATCTCGCTGCCTGTTTACCACTGGAATTATAACTCTGTCTTATGCAGCATCAAATATAATTGCTGTGAAGAGAATTATGAGAGCAGGACTGCAGGTTATTACTTCCAGGTGCAGAATAACCGGCAGGAATAGACAAAATGGTAATCCAGACCTATGTGCTTTAAAACAGATGTCCTGGGTAGTAAAGGGAAGCAAAGCACCTGGGTAAGTATCCAAGAAGTATCTAACAGCAGCAGAACTGTGTGGTTTTCCCTCAGTCCCACAGAGTTGGCTGCAAGGTGTTAGTGGAGTAATTTGCTGTAATGAAGCAAAGGAAAACTCTCCTGGTACTTTAGTGAATCTGCCCTTTTGGGGATGAGTGTTCATCACCTGCTACTTCAGCTGCAGCCCATGGGACCGGCTGCTGTGGTTTGCATGGATGGACCAGGCAGAGCCAAGGGCGAGGGAGAGCGACTGCTGATGGATGGGGAGAGGAGGGAGGTGATGCTGTGGAAGTTGGTGGAGCCTGGCAGAGCAGCTCTGAAATAGCACAAACACTAAGGCAAGGCTGGTGTGAAGAGGAGGGAAAGGCAGCATCATGCCAAGACCTGATCAGCTTCTTACAGTTACAGTAATGTTCTTGTACTAACCCAGAAGTTCCCTGAGGGCACAGAAATCTCCTCATTTCATATACAATATTCCTGGGTTTCCCCACTCCCATCCCTATTTCACCACCTGGGATAAGAAAGCAAAAGGACTCAGTTCAGATGTGAACTTTCCCCTGGTTAAAATCTGCTATTTGTTATTTTTCAGGGTGTTCCTCACTCAAAAAAACAGGAGTGGTTGAATTTCTCCACAGAAGGCACAACAAAACAACTTCCCTGCACTAAATTGCTTTTCTGTTTTGACTGGCTCTGTTAGTGCTGAAACACTGATCAGCTGAAGTCAAAGTTAAATAATACCTTGCCATTTTTAGCACCTTTTTAGCTCATCTTTAGGAGCTGTATTTTCAAGTCCCCAATGCTTTGTTACCTCCCTGCTCCAACCAGCCCAGTGTTTCCTAGAGCACTCCGCAGAGATGCCACCTGATAACCTGGTCCTAGCTTTTAGTTTGGAAAAAGCAATCCATAAACCACTTTAGCTTCTGTTCAATATTTGTCAAATACCTTTTTGCCCCCCAAAAGCACGTCAGGCTGTTAGGCTCAGAGTTTACTCACTTTGGCCGAGCTGCTCCTGTCACACACACAGTCCTGTAGCGCACTTGCTTCTGGTTTTGCTCCCAGACCAGTTGATTTAAGCAGCTTCAGCCAGAGGAAAGTGTGGAGCCCAACATCTCCGTGCTGGCACCGGGCAGGTGCTAAACTCCAACTGCTCCACCAGTGCATCACCAGGGATCTCACCAAAGTGTTTCTCTTCCTCCGCTCTCTCCTCTGCAATCCATTGGCATCAATTGATTTCAGGGATGTGATGGATTCAAAGACAGTTTAATCAAGGAGCGTCTCGATACCGGCTGTGTCTGGCTTCCAGGCTGAAGCACCCACAGGTCCCTTTGGCTTAGGGAGAGCCAGGAGAGCCCCAGGTTAAGCTCAGGCGAAGCTTCTCTTGCTGTAAGAGATGAAGCAGCTCAAGACGAGGAGCCTCGGGGGGACCTCCCAGGGTGTGAGACCCCTTGGGTGCACCCCACACCAGCAGTGCAGATCCACTCCGGCCGCAGAGTCCTGGTCACAGGATCACCCAGGAGCTGGGATTCCCAACACAAGCACTGCGAAACAGATCCAGCGCCCTAAGTACCGGCTGCCTGGTGTAACCCGCGTGTCTCCTCCCCCCAGATCTATAAGAAGGCTCTAGTTTACCCCAAGGCAAGCCTACAAGTTTAAAACAGCTGAGTAGGGCTGTTCTCTCCCTCCGGGCTCTTCAGTGCAGCCCTCCAGGCACAGTGTACACCCTGTGCCTGGTTCTGTGGTGCTAGGAGCTGGCAGGGCACACGGATACAGGATGCTACACCCAGCCCAGCCCCACGGTGACCCCCAGGACTCCGCTTTGACTGTGACCATCCACTTCTTGCTGACCACCCCGGCTCACATCCGACCCCCTGCACTTTGCCTCCCGTGTTTTAGCAGAACGGAGCTCCGGGCACTCAGCTCCAGACCCCGATCCGGGCAGCATTCGGGGCTCTGCCGCTTCCCGGGTGGCGGTGGGGCTCAAGCCTTCCTTCCTCCTGCCTTCCCAGCACCACCGAGGATCGTCCTGCTTTCAACACCGCATCAGCGGGTTCCCCCTTGCCATCCCTCCGGCCAGGACGGGCTCACTCCGCTCTCCAACAGCAAAACCCCTTTAAGATGGGCAAACTGGGGGTGGCCGCTTTGCTTCGGGGGAGCAGCAAACGGAACCGACAGCTCCGGTGCCTTATTCATCCCAGAGACCCCTTTAAAAGCAGGATGCCCTTTGCAAAGCCCCAGATTGCCCCATCCCTTCCGCTTCTCCCCCCATCACCCCCCTCAGTCTCCCCCGGCCCCACTTGCTGCTCCGCTCTCCCCCGGCCATGATTTACCTGCAGCCCCACGGTATCCTCTTGGCCCCGCTCCGGCTGCAGCCCCCCCCGGCCCGGGCTGCCCCGAGCCAGGAGCGCGCCCCGCGCTCCTCCGCTTCCCTCCGGCGGCGGGCGGGGACGGCGGCCGCCCCCCGAGGGGAGGGACAGGGATCCCGGCTGGGGCTGCCTCCGGTGATGGGAGCTGGGGCGGAGGGAGGGGGACACGGAGCCCGCGAGGGGACACCCTGGGGTGTCTGCGGAAAGTTGGGCTGGAGGTGCGGAGCCGTCGGTGCTGGAGGCAGCAGGGATGCTCTGTATCCCCTTCCAATGTCCGTGCCCCCTTCCCAGGCTCAGGGAGCCCTTACCTGGTTCTGCTCCTGCCCCATACCCCGGGTTCGGGGTGTGCGCCGTGCTAGGAGAGCGGCTGCTCCTGCGACGGGCTGGGAGCCCTCCCTGTGCCCGCGGAGATGGGGAAAGGGGTCTCCCAGGAGACCCGCATCTCCTCCCCTCATCTACCTCCCTTCCAGCTCCGAGAAGTGCTTTTAAAGACTCCTGCGGGTTCCCACAGAGCGAGCCCCCTCCCCGCAGCGTGCGGGCTCCGTCAGGGACAGCGATAGGGACCTGCAGCTCCATCTCATCCATCTTAACGCTCCTTGGTGTTGAGCATTAGGGAAGACGTAGAGAAAGAGACAGGGTCGCGCTCCGGATCCTGCCTCTCCCTGGAGAACCGGAGCTGAAATCCCATGCGGGAATGCTTTACTCCAGTTGACTATGGATCCCGCCCTAAAATTCCTAGCTAGTGGGAAGATGCAGGGCTTAATATCCAGGCTGTCAGGATAAACTTGGTGGGTTTCCTCCTTCCCAAACTCTCATGGATTTCACCTAGGCTCTGCAGGGCAGGAAGGGGCTGAACTATTTTGCCCTTTAAATGCAACAAGTGAATTAAAAGTCATACAGAACCTTCCTCCTCCAAACTGCAGCCCCCTGATATCACCTGTATTGACACCCATACCAGTGTCTCCTAAGCCCCTTTGCTCCTTGGCTTGCAGGGGGGATGATCAGAGCAGTGGATGTGTGTTTAACTCAGTGCTGGGCTCCCCAGTCCCTTTCCATCAGCATGCACAGGGCATCGTGCTTTGTAATAATGTATATGATCTTAATCCAGTGCTGAGGCTTTTCAATTAGAGATCTGTAATTGAGTCAGATGTGTGAAGGCAAAAAAAATAGAAGAAGAGAAGAGAAGGAGAAAGCTGCTTTTGGCATGTCGCTTTCTAATTCAATCTGCTGATGTATTTACGGTCATGTACCACTAAATTGAACTAAGGCTCCAGTCTGCTCTTGCCATGACAATAGGGAGAGTCATCTGACAGAAATAGAGTTGGGAATGATAAACAGGAGATTTTGATTACCTTCTTTGAAAACACGCCAAGCAAAGTGCGATACAATAGCCCCACTGTGCATATCAGCTTGAATCAAAATAGGGCTAATTTAATGATTTGCCTTCCTATATTTTATTAGCCTTTTATTATCTTTTGCATATTAAAAAGTTGCTGAGAAAACACTGTGGTTCCTGAGTTTCCCCAAAGAAAACAGCACAAATAAACACCTTACCAGGATCTGTGTTGTGATAGAGGGAGGGTTTTCAAACCTCTTAATGCTGGCTGAGTTCTTTACCCACTCAAGTCAACATCGACATTCCATTTCAGGGCTCAATGGAGCCAACACAAAGGCTATTTGAAAACACTACCTGTTATCATGCTTTTAATGGCTAATGCCACGGTCGGAGGCCAAAGATCAGTTACACCAGCCACAGAATAAACATGGCAGGAAAAATAACTCCTAGTACATGAGTGTTCGGGTAGATACCCATCAACACAGGCAGACCTGCAGCTTCATGTGTGAAGGCTGATGGCCCGGATGTGTTGTGAGGAGGATCAATGTGTGAGGTAGATGAGGTGTGTGGAGGACAAGCACACAGCAGTGATGTGCCAGTATCTGGTTTGTAATTCTATCAGATGTCCCCTTTTTGCTGCATGTCATATTTTATAGGTGTGTAATTGATATAGCTTTAACCTTTTTGTGTTGAGGTTTTAGAAAGGGCAGAGATCTAATATTGAACTAAAAGCCTCAGCCTGCATTACTTTATTTTGTTCTCTCCATGTAAAAACACCTCTCAGATAGCCCTAACTTGGATACAAGTCTATTTATTTTGCCATCCTTGTCGCATACAGAAATTCAGTGTCACAACACGATTCCTGAAGGGTACATTTCCCACTGTCGCGTTGAATGATGATGAAACTGCTGACAAACGTAATGGTAGTAATACGTGTTAAACCAGTGCATATGTGTGAGACAGGTTGCACGGGAAGCCCCTCCTGTGGTTCTTCAGCTGCCTTGCCAAAACTCAGCTGAAGCAGAAAGGATGAATTCGGATCAATATTTTTAGAAGGAGGAACTCGGGGGAACTTTTAGCAGCTTCTCCTGTTGAACCTGGCAGCAGGGAACAGAGAGGGATTGCTGGCGAGGGAGGAACTCACACACTCATAGTGCATAAACCATCTCAGTGATAGACTCGGTTCCAAGCCTGGCTTAAACTAGAGGGATGTGTTGGAACTGAGGCCCTAAGGGTTGGATTGCCTCTGATTAGAAGGACCGGAGTAGTGCAACAGAGGTACCTTTCAAACTCCGATGAGCACAGAAACAGAGAAGGAGCAAATATCCAGTTTGCTCCCAGTTTGTTTCTGGAGCCATTTCTTTAAAAATTGATTTGTGTTAAGGATTAGACCCAGACTTTTCATAATCACAACAGGACTAATGTCAAAACTGATGAGATCAGCACTGAAAAGCAGGCAAGGCTGCCAGGCTGGAAGCTGACTCCTTGGTGCTTCAAAGTCTTCCTATGTGGTGATGGATATTTTTGCTCTTCCAGAACGGGAGCCTGAGGCAGTGACAAGGAGAGAAGTATGTCCTCGGTTAAACAGCCAGTTGGGACTGTGAGTCATGTCCGTTCCTCATCCCCACAAGAGGTCCCAAAGTGCAGGATGGCCATGCTGTGAAGATGCTCATCCCAGCAAGCTACAGCGCTGGCAGTTGTGGTGGGTGAGGCTGTGGCTTCTGAGACTCAACTGATCCCCTGCTGAAGGTTACACTGTGCTTTCCTCCAAGGATTTATTTAACATCATGGGGTTTGAGAAAAAAGAAATGTAAGAGCTCTACTATTTCACCTTTAAAGAAAACCATTGAGCTTGCTGGATGAGGGTGGCTGCTCGTCACTTGGAGATTTCAAATCCAGCTGAGATTTGGGCTGTGGTGTAGTCCTGACTTATTCATGTTGCCATAGAAATAAATGGATCAATTTTTTGCTGTTCAGTGTTCAAAGCTCCAGAGTACACTGACTACAGATCTACCACTCCTCCACCTCATGAGCCCTGGCCATGGCCATGGGGTTGGTTTCCAATCTTTGCTTCTCCAGGGAACTCCATATGCAGCAGGGACTTTTTTTCCTTGTTTTTAATGATTGGCTTGCGTTTGTTTTAAGCATTTTTGAAGTTCACAGAAAGCATCCTTCAGCTCAGCTTCTAACTGGAAGACAGCTACTGTGTTCAATTACATTCACAGTTTGGCTGGCTGAAGCCGAATGTTTTCACTTTGCCTGCAGAATATGCTGTGAAAGCCAGGCAGCAGGAATCACAGCGAGGTTGAGGTGTTTTCGTTTCCCTTTGTTATTCTCCTTACAAGGAAGAAAAGTCAATGCCTTTGAAATCAGTGCTTTATAAATCTCTCAAACGGGCTGTAATTACAGTCCCATCTGTTGTCATATTGCTGAATTGCCTGAGGCAGACATGCATGAAGATCTTCCCAGTTGGTCATTACTGAGCAGCCTGTGTTATTCCTACCATCGTGATGCACTGACAGCCCACTCTGCCTCCTGGAAGCCCTCTTGGAGGAGAAAAGCACAGGACAAGGGCTGGATTTGCTCATCACTACCTTGAATGAGCATTGCTTTGCTATTTACAGCCTGGTTGGGAAAGAAGGACTGCTCTATCCATGACTTTCAAATCAGCTGTTCTCAATAGCCACAGAGCAAACTTATTTCACTGCCAGTCTGGTAGACAAAGTGTTATTAAAGCCTTGATTTTTGCCCAGTACTTCTGATGCTCTGTGTATCTTTACACAGAACTTACTCTCCTCTGAATAAACCCATCTAATCCTCTCTACAGACATGAGAGTACTGTTCTCCCAGCACTGAACCGGAATGGCTAATCTGCATCTTTAATGGCAACATCTCACATACACCAGTTTGTACCAGCAGCATCTTTTGGTTTTCAGCTGGTTTTTCTGGCAATGTAGTTTATCAGTGAGAAGTTCATTTCCTACCTGAAGGACTTCATGGAATGGGATTCCTTTTTTTAACTAAAGGGCTTAGCTTTTTTTGGACCAAACTAGGCTTCAGTGGGCTAAAGTGGGCTGGACAAAGCTAAACAGTGCTGAACTGGGCTAAAGTGGGCTGAGTTGGGTTGAATTAGGCTAAACCAGGTTAAACAGGACTAAAGTGGGTTCACACCCTGTGGTGTGAACAGGGCTAAAGTGGGCTGAAGTGGGTTAAACTGAGCTGGGCTCTGCTTGGGTGGGCTAAACTGTGATGGACTGGGCTGAACTGGGGTAAACTGCGTTAAACTAGGCTAAAGTGGTCTGAAGTGGGCTAAACACTATACAGTGCTGAACTGGGCTAAAGTGGGCTGGACAAGGCTAAACAGTGCTGAACTGGGCTAAAGTGGGCTGCACAAGGCTAAACAGTGCTGAACTGGGCTAAAGTGGGCTGGAGAAGGCTAAACAGTGCTGAGTTGGGCTAAAGTGGGCTGGAGAAGGCTAAACAGTGCTGAACTGGGCTAAAGTGGGCTGGACAAGGCTAAACAGTGCTGAACTGGGCTAAAGTGGGCTGGAGAAAGCTAAACAGTATTGAACTGGTCTAAAGTAGGCTGGACAAGGCTAAACAGTGCTGAACTGGGCTAAAGTGGGCTGGGCTGGGCTGAAGTAGTCTAAACCAGCTAAACTGGGCTAAAGTGGTTTGGACTGGTCTGAACAGGGCTAAAGTGGGCTGAAGTGGATTAAACTGAGCTGGGCTCTTCTTGGGTGGGCTAAACTGGGCTGGA